TGGTTAAATTTGCACATTTACCATGTTGACGTGTCGTGTCACGCGTCATTATGAGTCCCACATAACGTTCATTAGCTGAAATTAATGGTGGGCTATTGGATGCTCCATTTTTAAAAGTTTGTGATTTATTTTATATTATTTGATAATTTAAACTATTAGATGCTAAAAAAATAATTTAGAATCAAATTTACACCTTTCCCTCATATATATGTATATGTATATGCCCGCGCGCACATGGCATGTCATCATGCAGATGCTAGCCAGTCGTACTTGTATAGCACTCCCTCCGAATGGGTCCCTTTTTACCAATATTTCACCAACCTCGTTATTTTTTATTATTTTACAATTTAAAAACAATTAACAGCGAGAGTAGCCGATGATTAGATGGCTTATAGTAATGATTGACAATAATTAAAGAAATTTACACGAATAAAAAAAGAAAATATTGGAGAAATATTCAACATGTAGGAAAATTTACACTAATAAAAAAAGAAAATATTGGAAAATATTCAACATGTAGGAAAATTTACACTAATAAAAAAAGAAAATATTGGAAAAATATTCAACATGTAGGAAAATTTACACTAATAAAAAAAGAAAATATTGGAAAAAATATTCAACATGTAAAATAATTAAACAGTTTTAATATCAGATAAACTAATTAAGTTCATGTTTGGATATCTATTAAGGACATCTAACGGCAGGGTATAAGATGATTGATTAATAATTTAATATCCATGGAGTCGTATAAGGCCAATCCTCATTAATTTTGTATTTATTAGTAGTCAAAGGCTATGCTGCCCGAGCTTCTAACTTCTCTGCTTTATGTGATCAATTAAGAAAACTTGACTTCTATCATTTCCTTTTCTTTTTCCCTTTCCCCACTAGTGAAAAAAAGACCTTTCCAAGTGCCTATTTGGACAAGATAAAATAATCAACGCTAAAGGTGTGTTTATATTTCAAAAATATTTTTTAAGAAACATTCAACATTTTAAATTATTAATCGAAATAATTTTATTTTTAAAGCAATTAAAATAAAATATTTTTATCTTTGTCGTGAAATTTCTTAATGATCAATGTTGGAATCTCAGTTAGCATTTTTTAATTATTAATGTTGAGAATTTGATGGCAAAGGCAAAATTGTTTTAAGTAATAATTTAATGTTTTAAATGCTCCTTGAAAAATACTTCAAAAATAAAAATGCATCCTTATCCAAATACTAAAATTTCTTCTTTTTTTTTTTGATCCAGTTTCTTCACCACTGTGAACCTCAGTTAGATTCAGGCATGATATAGTTTTTAGTTATTGGGCGACACGGTCGCATGCCTTCTGGATCATTTAATTTCATTTCCTTTTTTCTTTTTCCTTTTTCATTTTGAAATCCTTTTTTCCTTTTCCTAGATACTCCTACGTCCTAACGAGATACACTGATCTTCCTGCTTTCTAATTAAATTACATATTTATGTTTATTCTATTATTTAAGAAAGTGACACGAAAGCTTTGCTTGGAATGATAGATATGTGTTCCTTGACAATCTTTTATATCTTCTATAAATCAATTTTTGGTAAGCTGCATCAATCTCAATTTATAAAATATTTTTAAACAAAAACATGTATAGTAAAATTCATTAAATATACTATACAATTTTATTTTTTTAAAAAAATATAAAATTTTAAAAATAATATTTATTTAATATTCCATAATCTGAACACAAAAACAGAAATTGTGCTTGTAATTTAGTTAATGCATTTTTAAACCTACTCCCGCAGGGTTTAATCTAGTTTATAATGATATTTATATAGCAATTAATATTTTAGTTAGTTAATGCATTAATTAGTTAATTGTATTTGTAATTTAGTTGATGCATTTTTTAAACCTACTCGCATAATTTAGTAATTGTGTTAATGTGTTTGTCCATTTTAGTTAATGCACTTTTTAATTGTGTGTTCAAAACGATATTTTTATCTTCGCGCGTTTCCGTCCTCGCCCTCAGATTTCCGATTCCCCTAGAAAACCAGTGGAGGTTGGTGAGAAGAGCAATTAATTTTCTGCATTACAACAAAAAGTTATTTTTGACTGAAAAGATAATGTGGTTTCTTTTTTTTATTATTTATTTAAAGGACAAAGAGTGATACTTTTAGATTTGCCCTAGAGATAAACGAATGTAAAACATGATAATAAAATACAATGAGGAGGAAAATATGTATGCTTTGTTCATTGTTACTGTGATATTTTTAATTTTGAACAATTAAATTCATGATATTAAAGTGATTATGAAACTACATAAATATAAAATTAGTTAAAATTATATTAAAACGATCATCTATGGTCAAGAGTCAATGGCTATTATAATTATTAATTTTAAATGTAATAAATAATTATAATATTATTAGTTTATTTTTTATTATATTCAGATACATGAAATTAAAATATTTATCTAGTCTTAATGAGTTTGATTCCCTTTTAATTATGTAACTATCTCTGATATATTTTTATCTTTGGCATGGACCAATTACCCATAATATTCACACCTGACACCTACACATATTTACACTCCTACCACTATAAAAAAAAAAAAAATTTTGACAGTGAAAAAAATCCAAAGCCACAAAAAATTATTAGTGATCGAGCTTTTGTAGTAAACCTAATTTTTTGAAAGAAAAAAAGAGCCATTTTATACCACATCAATTGACACCTTGTACCACATGTGCACTTTCTTATTCCATGGCACATGTCACGTTACTTGATAACTTGTGCCATATCACACCACGTCACGATCACATGTCATGTCACATGGTCATTGTGAAATATGCTTAAATTATGATTTAAACTCTTGACCTCCACTTTCTAAGTTTTAAGTCCTCATTTCTTGCTAGTTAAATGACAATATGCATAATTACATAAATTATTTTTAATTTTTAATTAATTTTTTATAAAAATACTTTTGGCTACAATAAACTATTACATAAATTATTTTTAATTTTTAATTATTTTTTATAAAAATACTTTTGGTGATGACAAACTATTTATATAAATTATTTTTAATTTTTTAGTGGCTTTCTTATGAAAATACTTTTGATGGCAATAAACTGTCATGGCAAAAAGTAATTACATAAATTATTTTAATTTTTTAATTTTTTTAAAAATACTTTTGGGAGTGATAATTTGTCACTATTGAAGGTAATTACATAAATTATTTTTAATTTTTTTTATCACCATTAAAAATAATTATATAAATTATTCTTTATAAAAATACTTTTGGCAGCGATAGTTTATCACCATTAAAAATAATTATATAAATTATTTTTTATAAAATACTTTTGGCCACCACAATTTGTTGCTATTAAAATTTAGTGATAAAAATTAAAAATAATTACTAAAAGTAGATTTTTGATAATGACATTTAAAAGTCACCACTAAAAAATGAGTTTTGGCAGTGATTTTAATAACAACACAATGTCAGGTCTTCTTTTAGTGATGATTTCTAATTGTTACCACCAAAAGTAGACATTTGGTGGTAACTTTTCTTATCACCACTAAAGATCATCACCAAAAGTTATTTTTTTAAGGTGTATCCCATGCATTACCTCTTACATTGATGCATGTTTGCAACTTGCATTTAGGATGTAAAAAGCCATGGTAAGTTTTAGGTTTTGGTGGGTTCACTAAAAAAGAAGAAGTTCTTGTTGAAAGCTTTCAACAGTGACAAAAAGTCACCGCGAGAGCTTTTATCGCTAATTTTATCTATGCTGACAATAAAAGTTGTCGTTGAAAGTTGAGAATAGACGACGATAAATGTTGCTGTAAAAATTTTTTTTTACACTGATGCGTGTTTGCAATGCAGGATGTAAAGAGCCACAATAAGTTTTAGGTTTTGGTGGGTTCACTTAAAAAAAAGTTCTCACCAAAAGTTTTCAATAGCGACAAGAAGTCATCACAAGAGCTCTTGTCACTAATTTTATCTATGATGACAATAAAAGTTGCTGCTGAAAGTTTAGAATCGACGGCGATAAATGTTGCTGTAAAAAAGAAATTTTGTTGCTGTAAAAAAATACTTGCCATTGAAAGTTGATAATTTATCATCGCAGAAACCATACATCAGCGCCGACTATTTAGTCATTGCTGAATGTTAAGTATGAGCAGCAACATTTATTGTCACAAAAACTACCAATCAGTGGTGATTTTTTTGTCACTGCTGAAAACTAATGTTAATTTTACCAACCCACATGGCGCCATGTCACTATTAATTATTAATTTTCTTACTATATTTATTAATTTGTGAATATGAGTTGTAAATTAAATAAGTTGATATGTTAATAATTATATAAAACTTGATATTAATTTTGAATTATAAACAACAACATCAGTTGTTAAATTGTTAAACTTTACTTGTTAATTTACTAATATGAGTTATGAATTACTAACAGGTCTTATAATTTATTAACATCAATTGAAAATTACTGATAAGTCTTGTAATTTATAACTGATGTTAGTAAATTAATAAGTAAAGTTAGAAAATTAACAGCTAATGTTATTTATTATCTAATAAATAGATGTAATTTATAAGTAATATTAATAAATTAACAAGTAAAGTAAGAAAATTAATAACTAATAATTCTACAAAATACGTGAAAGATATTTTAGTTTTTTTATTGTCAAAATTTTTTTAACTTTTTTTTTGAACTGAATTAAAATTTTAAAATGTTTTTGTACTTATTGAAAATTAAATCTCTTCTTTTGTCCCTAATTGAAATGCTCCCTAAAATTTTGTCGTCTCTCCAAGCGGAGCTGAGACGAAACTTCCTACAAAGTGCATATCCCGTTTCCAAACGTGGAACCGTTGGATTAAAAAGTTGGATTTGGACGACAGATGTGAGGTAGGTATGGAGAAATTGTTGTCCGAAGGCCGAAGCAATCTATATAAGGCTCAAACAAAGAAACTGCGATAAAGCTCAAACTTGATTCAATTCAATAACATATACCCCTTCTCTTCCCCGTCAATGACTTCCGGAGAAAACTACCTCCCACCACTAAGCATGGCAGACTTCGGCCGCTTCGCCATCCAGCTCGCCGAGAAGGAAATGCCTCAGTCAATGGCTTATCATGACAAGTTCAGCTGTACCAAACCTTACAAAGGCCTCAAAATCACCGATTGTCGCAATTAAAGGCTAAAACTGCCGTCCTTGTTGAGACCTACACAGCCCTCGGTGCCTATGTTCTGTTGTGCTCCTCCACGCCAAACGATCCCGTTGCGGCTGCCCATCATCGCACGTGGCAGTGCTGCTGTGTTCCCTTGGCCTCTTGCTTGGGGCAACAGTGGTGCTCCCCATCTGATTCTTCTCCCCGGCGAGATCCATTGGAATAATACTGTGGGTGTGTCAAAGGAGATGGTCGCTGATGCCAAGAAACTTTACGAGTATCTTTACATGGCTTTCTCCAAGAGCAAGGTACGCCATTAAAATCTATGATGAGTTCAACAGCAATTGGTTGAATATGCGCTTTTGTTTTATGTTTGGTACAGGTCACTTGCACGTATGGCTTTCCCGATTTGCTTATGAGAGCCACTAATGGGACTATTTCCGAAAAGTTTGTTGTTGCGTATGGATTTGGGGATGGTCAGAGCTCTACTGATGCTCTACTAATGCAACTTGGTCCACACGTACGAGTGGCTACAGCAGCTCTAACCAACGAGGATGTTCTCCCTGAGGGTGACATATTTGTTAACACTGTGGGTGACAAAGACACCATCGTCAAGGTTAATCACATGAAGAAGATGAAAAATGATGCCATTATTTGCAGCCTGGGTGATTTTGACGGTACTGGAATTGACATGCGCAAGCTTACTACCTATCCAGATGTGAAGCACAAAACCATGGAGCCTGGAATAGACAAATGGGTCTTCCCTGAGTCTAACACAGGCATCATCATATTAGCTCAGGGACTTCCGATGAAGATGGGTCTTTCCTATGCAGACCATGGAGCTGGGTCGACAAATGAACCGGGTTCGGGTTTAGACGATGATGAGGTTGTGGCTTCTCCTTCAGTTGCCAACCTTGAAGTTGATCATGGTCATGAATCGGCCAATGATGTACGGCCTGAGTTCATTAGCTTGTCTATTAATGGAGGCGATCGTAATACAAACCTCATCACTTTAGGGGCGGACCATGGAGCCGGGTAAACAATGGCATCTCCTTCAGTTGCCAACATCGGAGCTGATATACAGCCTGAGTTCACTAGTGTGTCCATTAATGGAGGTGATCATTCAAACCTCATCGCTGATGATGGGATTAGGATGAGCTTCGATAAACCAATGATTAATAAGATAAAAGGAGAAACTTATGATGAAAAGCTAAAACTGTGTTTCATAAATAAGATTTAAAATCATTCCCTCTAAAACTTGTGTTTGAGACACATACAAGTAAAAAATGATTGGTATACATGAAATTCAAACATTAATTTAGTCGTAATGAGTTTGATTACTTCTCAATTACGAAATTTCGCATTGCGGGCACCCCATCTGCAGGCTATATCAATGTGAATAAATAATAGTCCAAATATGTTACCAAAAGAAAAATAGATAAGTAGTTAAATAGGTGGTATTGAAGTCAAAATATTATCATTATGAAAAATAAATTATTAAATTATAAACTTCAATAGCTAAATGCAATAACTAAAATATTCTTGCACAAACATCATTATCTTAAAAATTCCTAAGAATCAAAATTTCCTGTTTCATTAACTAAATGCGTATCCCAAACATAATATTTCTAATCTAATCTAATTATACACGCTACCATAGCCCACCACTAGCTTATTTTTTTTAAAATATTATTATTTTCTTAATTTGCTTTTATATACACATACACGAATTGCTATACTTGTATATTTTCAACGTTCCTTCTCTCTATGACAAAAGCAAACGCTACTATGGGGTCTTTAATTATCTATTATATTCATCAATACAAGGCATCCATAATTTAGTCTCAGCTTAAGCTTTTATTTTAAATATACAATTACTAGATCAAATAGTTAAATTTGCTTAATGCTTATCTTAAATTATTTACATCGGGTATCTCACCATTAATTATTGCTAGCTATTCTAGTATATTTGCGCCAGTTCTGCAGCTGGAATGAAACTTCTAGTATAAGAAGTGAAGCACCAGCTCAATGATCATTGATCAGTGTAAAGAGTGGTTTGGTATTATAAAAATATTAATTAAATTACATTCATCAAATGCTCAAAATAAGTTGAAAGATGAATATTGTACAAAAAATAAGTTTAAGATCGTAGATCATTAGATGCTCGTGAACCTTTATCTTTTAAAATGGGTGTAATTTGACCTTACCATTAACAAAAGTGACCAAAAAGAACATAAAAAATTATAGAAAAGGAAAAATTTATAGAAAAATACTAAACACGATAACTCAAAATTATAGAAAATGACTAAGAAAGGAAGTGTTTATGCTTGGAACTGTGAATCATGCATGCATTAAACATTATTATGTGTAACAATGAATAGATTAAATACATAAATATTAAAATTAATTACATATTTTCTCCATTAAAAAATATAAGGTATTTTTAACTGAATCTCACCCCTCAATAAAGTAGTTACCTACTTTCAAACTAACCTTATCTTTTTATATTTATCCCTATTAAATATCCTAGAGTAAATATAAAGTTATTATCAATAAGAGTACTTTTGAAAAAAAAGATAATGATTACACTTTGAAGGACTAAAAATACCTTATATTTTTAAACATTCAACTCTTAAAAAATGTTTTATATTTTTGAACGGAGGGAGTAAATATTTTGTATATGTATATAACTAAATTAATATAAGAGAAGACTTGAATATTTAACTTTATGTATTTAATATATTTTTTGACTAATTGAATCCAAATTAGTGGATTTAAAAAATATATGTTAATAATATTAATACTAAGAATTTGTTATAGAGTAAATGATATATAAAAGACATGTCTTAATTTGATTTGAAAGAAGTCTTTAAGTATATAACACTAAGTGTATAATTTTTTTTAATAAATTATGACGTTGATTAACAAGGGTAGGTCTCGATAGCGGCGGTTTCAGTCGTCAAGTTGAGAGGAACGGAGATTTTGAGCCCTTTAATTTGTAAGGTTGGTAAACCACCGAACTTGTCACGATAAGCCATTGGCTGAGGCATTTTCTTTTCGGCGAGTTGGATGGCGAAGCGACCTGAGTCAGCCATGCTTAAGGTCTTGACATTGTGCTCGGACAGGCTTTCAGCTAAAAGAGCCTTTTGTCTCTCTAATTTATACTATAGAATATGCCTTTTACGCTTGAGGCATTTGAAGTACATTATATTACAGGGGAATTTCAATAAAGATACCATGACCATACCTAATTACATTGAAAGTTCTTAAATTTTTAAAATTTTACAATAGTCTAGTGATATTGATTTGATATAACATTTTTAAGAAAAATGACAACATTGCCGTCATTTAAATTAATATTAAGATTGCTCTATTTCACTTGTTCATTTACTTATCAAATATTATTAATTTTCTTACTTTACTTATTTATTTCTTTAGAATGAAATCAAGTGAAAGTCTAGCAATAAACAAATAAAGTAGAGTAATAAATAATAAGCTATAAGTAAATAAATAATATACAGTAGATGAATCAATAAATTATCTTATGATTGTTTAAACACCTAAAATAAAATAAAAAGTTTATTAGGGCAATTAACAACATTTCGTAAGTAAATAAACAAGTAAAACATGCAAGCTTTGATATTAACTTAAAGGAGAGGCAATCTTATCATTTCCCTCAAAAATTTAACATCAAATTAGTACTCTTGAATTACAATAAAATTTTAAAAATTTAAGGGTTTTGCATGTAAATAAGTTTGGTGAAGGGTTCCTCATTGAAATTCTCCCTATATTATATCTAGTTTCGTTTCTTACACTGCAAGCAAAAATCAGAAATTCCGCTTTTCAAGCCTTCATATTTGGTACAGTACAGGGAGCATAATATTTTCAAACCATGTGTTGGAAATATCTCAATAAGCCATATCAAAATTATCTGAATAGAATTTAGTGGACATCTATATCAATCAATTATTATACAAAAACGCAAGTAAAGGTGTGGATAGCTTCACAACTTACCATATATAAATATTCCAACACGATGAAGTCATGCATGGCCATAAATAATAATTAAAGTCATGGTTATATTTATTCCTAATTTTCTTTGGTCGTTTTCTTATCTCTCTCTCTGTTTTTTTTACCGGTTCTTATCTCTCTTATTTAAAGATACTCTTCGAGCGCTCACATTTGATACAGTACAGGGAGTATAATGTGGATATGCTCGTACGCTTGCTAGATTTACTCGCAGCTTAGACGTTAAATTTTACTCATTTGAACATGATCCCTAGAATGGTAGGCGGATAATGTTCTTTATCTGCAAAAAGAGTCCCTGTATACTTTTCATATAGAAAAAGATATCCACGTCGTATTTCTCTCATCTATTTTTTCATTGTTGTGGTATTCATTTACCTGGTTCACATAACATTAAATTCCAATTATCAATTTCTAATTTTTTTCAATAATTTTTTTTAAATAATTTAATTAACATTTTCTTTCTTTTCATTTTATTTATTTTTTCTGTTTACAATATTTTTAATCTTAAGAAAATTATTTAACCTATGCTAATATGCTATAGAGATATAGCAGATAGGCAAGAAGGAAGCTGAGCATTGGTAGGGTATATAAACTTTTAATATATATTAAAAATTGACATATATGTTGAAAGAATCATGAGAATAAATCCAGCCCTATACATAATAAAACTTAAATATGAAATAGTGGATCTCTACTTACAAAACTTATATATATGTATATATATAAACAATATTCTCCCTCACATATACTCCCTCCGTTTCTAAATATAGGAGAAACTGTCATGAGTTGGTTTGTTTTTTTATATAAGCAAAAACACACTTTTCAATATGCATTTATTATAAATTTCCTAATTTACCCCCTCATAAACACGTTTTTTTATTGTAGCATTACATAAAATTATGGCAGTAAAAATAAATGTTCCATGCAAGAATAATTTACTGTCACGAGGAGCATTTACTGCAGCATTATGTTAACTAACACAGGGACGGCTATAGACTACTCCCTCCGTTTCTAAATATAGGAGAAACTGTCATGAGTTGGTTTGTTTTTTTATATAAGCAAAAACACACTTTTCAATATGCATTTATTATAAATTTCCTAATTTACCCCCTCATAAACACGTTTTTTTATTGTAGCATTACATAAAATTATGGCAGTAAAAATAAATGTTCCATGCAAGAATAATTTACTGTCACGAGGAGCATTTACTGCAGCATTATGTTAACTAACACAGGGACGGCTATAGACTATTTACGAGAACAAACTCTTCATCCGACTTACTTCACTGGCTCTCATTGTAACTTTTTCATATTTCTGCTTACAAGTTAAAGAGAATATCAATGGTTATTTCCAGAGATTCAAAAGAAGTTGCTTTGGAGAATTCCTTGGAGAAAGATGAACAGTTAGACTTATCACTCCTCATTGTGGAGGACTCGTTGGAGAAGGAGGTCACATTCTCGCATCTTGTTGTGGAAGATTCGTTGGAGAAAGATTCATCAGAGAAGGATATGAGATTGATTCCTAGCATGCTTTCTAGTGAGGAGGAGGAGGTCACAAGTGCAAGAAAACCAATCATAGGTCATCGTGTAGCATACAGTGGTGGCAAGTTGAATAATCTCTTTGACTTGAATAATTTTCCTGATGAAGTTTCTGTGATAGACATGTTTATAGGTGAAGAAAAGAGGTTTAACAAGGAGAACGATGATGGAGAGGAAATAAGAAAAACCAACAATAAGCAACTTTTTGACCTGAACAAGTTCCCTGAAGAAGGCCTGGACTTTGGTTATCAAAATGAGGCGTTGAACAAGGAGGTTCATGCTATGCTGAAGATATGGTTTCCTCATTCATACTAGGTTTATGAGAGAAGCATGGAAGAAAGAGGTTTACTATCTTGTTTCTGTTTTTTTCTTCCATTTTTTTGGATGTATGTTTATCAGAGTGACTCATGTTCATTCTTATTTTGTCACTATCATTTGATGCTTTAAAAATGGAAGATTGCTTCGTGTGTCT